GAGAGTGACCGAGGAAGACTCCTGATGTTGACTTTCGGCTTCCACACAGGCATGCATACATGTGCACACATACCAGCACACACATGTCTATACCCATGAAAATAAACACACCCACTCACTCTAAATGAATAGACATTTGAGAGCATTCCAGTGGTGGTGGTAGCCTGGAACTAGGGGAGTGGCAATAAAAAGAGAAGTGGGCAGAATGAAGCCTGATTTTGGAGCAGCCAGCTAATTTGTAGTTGACTAGGGTGAGGGGCAAGGTCCAGGCCCAGGTTTCGGACTAGAATGATGTGGCATTTTTATGTTTTAATAATGGAGAGTGCTGAAGGAGGATGCCCAAGTGAAGGTGATTGGGAAAGGTGAGCTTGGTTCAAGGGAGTGGACTTGAAGACAACCATCAAATGCTTGAATTGATAATCAACTAAGCCTTTGACCATGAAAGCCCGAGGTTAAAAAAAAAGTCTTCACTGGAGAAATAAATCTAAGAATAATTAACATATAGACAGTAATAGAGGACATGCAATTCTGAATGAAATTTCCCTTGGGAAGGGCGGAGTTAGAGATGAGGGGTGGTCATCGAGAGCTCCACCATGCAAGGCCCGGGTCTGAAATACAGAAGAGAAAAACTGAAGTGACAGAAGCCAAGGCATTTAAAGATAGCAGGACCTGTACAGTGTGTGGAATACAGCTGTGAAATCAAGGGTCATAAATAATAATGGCAATTATGACCCCTTCCTGAACAGGCTTTTAAAAAAATATTGTTATTATTTTTATTTTATGTGTATGAGTATATTGCCAGAATGTATGTAAGTGTACCCGAGTCATACAATGTCCACAGAGAACAGAAAAGGGCATCTTATCCCCTGGAACTGGAGTTATAGATGGTTGTTGGCTACCATGTGGGTGCTGGGAACTAAACCCAGGTCCTCTACAAGAGCAACCAGTGCTCTTAACCACTGAGCCATCTCTCCAGCCCCTGAACAGGCTTTAAGATGTGTTTCATCCCGTGACAGTTCTCTGAGAAAGGTGATATTCTATACATAGTTTTGAAGAGGAAGAACTGAGGCTCAAGGAGTTTATAAGAAAGTTACCTAGTCAGGCAGGCAAGACAGCTCAGCAGATAAAGATGCCCGCTGCCAAGTCTGGAGACCTGAGTTCAATCCCTAGGACCTGCAGGGTAAAAGGAGAGAACCAACCCCATAAATTATCCTTTGACATCCACACATGCAGTATAGTATGCACGTGCCCATACACATGGGCGGGGGGAGAATGAATATGAAAGAGGAAGAGAGAAAGAGAAAAGAGTGTCCCAGAATTAAGCATTATCTCTAAAGGATACGTAAAATTCTTTTAAGGGTGGTTTGGGTGGAAGGTTAGGATAGAATCAATATGGGAGCAGAGCATGCTGGTAAGCTAAAAGGAGATGAAACACCAGATGCTAAAGCTGTTTGAATTTAAAGGGAAGGAGGGTTAGGCAGTAAACAGTTGAACTCAGAAATACCTTCAGTGGGGGATTGAGAAGGGTTTTCTCCTTGGCCAGCTTGATCTGACTCTGCCCACTTTGTTCAGCTGTTCAGTCAACTACATCATCCCCAACCAGGTGCTTCAAGGCCTGCAGCCCACAACTACCCTATCATCTCCCTTCCTTCAGGGCCATTCATTCCTCAAAGCTCACTTCCATAGAAAATTTTCCTAGTCTAATCCTCTCCAGAAAAAGTTCTGGTCAAAAATGATTTTATCTTTTTAGAAACTTCCACTGCCTAGCACAGTGGCCAGTGTTTACCCAGAATGTTCTCAGACGCTTCACAAGCCCTTATTTGCCTGAAACACTTGGCTCACTTGATCATAACCATATTACTCACCATCTCACTTTCCTGGAAGGTCTCTCTCTCTTCTCTCTTCTCCTCTTCTTCTTTTTCTTCTTCTTCTTCTTCTTCTTCTTCTTCTTCTTCTTCTTCTTCTTCTTCTTCTTCTTCTTCTTCTTCTTCTTCTTCTTCTTCTTCTTCTTCTTCTTCTCTCTCTCTCTCTCTCTCTCTCTCTCTCTCTCTCTCTCTCTCCCTCTCTCCTCCAAGTTCTGGTTGGAATTACACAGAACTAGAGGCCCTGGTAGGTGTGGGAGGGCGGGGTTTAGCAGGTAAGTCTGATGGAAAAAGTTGAAACAAATGGGCTTCCATAGACATAAGATGATCTAAAATTAGGAGGCATCTCAGGCAAAAGCTTGAGGTGAGGGAATCAGTGGATTTTCCTATTTGTATTTTTTGTCAAGATTATCAGTGTAGGAGACCTTGAATGTGTTTCTCATCTGAAAATGAAGGGGGTTGGGCCTGGTAATCAAAGCAATCAAAGATAGTTAAGAGACTGAGGCAGGTGGATTCCAAGCTTGCCTGGGCTACACAGTGAATTCAACACAATCTGGTCAACTTAGCAAGAACCATGTAACAAAATAAAAAGTAAAGGGGTAGGGGAATTGAGGATATAGCTCAGTGGTGGGGTGCTCAAGCATACACAATCTAGATTCAATCCTAAAGGAAGGGAAAATACTGAGGGGCCAGCGAATAGTGAGGCTCAAATGAGGGCAGTTACTACAAGAGGTGGGAGAGGGGTGGGATCAAGGGCTCCAAAGTGTAGGAAGGGTGGAAGTCCTTCCATTAGGTCAAAGAAATTATTGTGAGATGGTCTCCATCTTCTCAGTAAAGCGGTTAGGAATGTACTCTCCAAGGGGCATCTGATCTCTGCTCCCTGCTGAATCCATCAGACATGTGAGCACACAGGTACACATGAATGTTTGTTGAATGAGCACGTGACTGAAAGATAGTAAGACTTGAAGAAGGCTAAACATAGTCTAGGGCAATGTGAGTGGTTCTGACTCCAGGTCAGAACAGACTTAGAACAGACTATCTGTGGGACAGTCACATGATTTAAAGCCCACAAACACCATGTGCAATGAAGGAAAAATGATCTCTTCTAACAAGGTTATGCTGCAGTCTTCCCCTAGTTCATATGGGGTCATTTACATTTTAACAACCCAACACTCCCAGCTGGTGGGAGGCAAGGTCACAGAAGTAGTACCTGAGGATATCTTCCCTCAGAGAGCAGCACCTACAATTCTTTGGCCCTTAGCACTTTAACCTGGTGAGCAATCTCACCCAACCTCTCACTGGGAGTTTTGTCTCCAGTCAGACATTAGAGTTCCATTTCATCTCAGGAAATAGGGGATAGGCAGATTGATGTCTGGCCCTGCCAGGCCACAAGAGTCAAATGCTCCTATGGCAGCTTCGGAACTCTGTACCCTATGAGCACCCATGCAAATGCGGCTCACCACTCACTGTCACAAGTGGCCCAAAAGAGGGAGACTGAGAACTTGGCCGATTCCATTGTGCTCCATTCACTCATGAAGCCTTTTAAGAGTCATTAGAGCTGCTCGTAAATGGGTTCCATGGTCTCGAGAGTACTAATTGATTCAAACGTTTTGTACTGGTTTTGATAAAATTCTGGGTCAGTTGGAACCTTTGAAAAAATAGTCCCATACAGTGTCCAGGTTCTGTCTTAGTCCCACTGGACTCACCACTGTATGGACTTGTTAAATAAAAAAATGTGGAACAGTCTGGGTACCGTGGTGCCTGTCTGCAACCCAGCACCAAGAAGGGAGAGGCAGGAGGATCGGGAACTCAGGGTCATCCTTGGCTACATAGGAGTTCCAGAACAATCTGGGCTTCATAAGACCTTGTCTCAAAAAAGCTTACAAGAGTATAGCTGCCCACATCCATACTGTAGAGCCTCTGCCACATGCCCTGCTTGTCTTTCTTAGCTATGACTCAGAAGCGCATAACTTCTACTTTTCTTTATCCCTTTTCAGGCCAAAGGCTGAGCTGTGTTCCTGGGCATTCTGGGCCTTTTCACTCTTTCTCTGAAGCCCCTTCCTTTTACCACCCGACTGTTTGTCGTCCCCCCCCCCGCCCCCACCATTGCAAATGGCATGATTTTCTCTTTTCCTCTTCCTGGGTTTCCCTTCTGGCAGCTGCCAAGATTTACACCTGCCCTATTGTTTCTCTCTTACGCTCTAATGAAATTATCCTTGAACTTCAAAAATATAAATAAATAATAATATGGAGACTGAAGATGGGGCTCAGTGGTATGTTCTTGCCTTGCCTAACATATACAAAGCCCCACAGCCCTTCCCCAACACTGAATAAATAAAATAAATACAAAGACAGCTTAATTCAAAAAGGTATGAGCCGTTTGATAGAAGTCACCAGTAAAACAATGAGTTTCACCTCTCACGTAAAGTGGATTCCTACAGGTTACTACAACCTTTCAAAGACTTATGTCTAAGTAAAAAATATCATTACTCTTTTGGGTTTTTTTGTTTTGTTTTTTTGAGACAGGGTCTCCCTGAAGCCCTAGCTGACCTAGAACTCCTTGTGTAGGTTGGTCTTGATTTCACAAAGATCCTCCTGCCTCTGCCTCCCGAGTGCTGGCACTAAAGGCATGTGCAACCACGCCCAGTTGACTCATCTGTTTTTAATATTTTTAATTAAAACACAATATACTGGAAAGTACATGAAACTTAGGTGAATTCTGGTAAATTAACACCTGTGAATGAGACACACCGGTATAATCATCACACAGGTGAGGACACAGAAAATCACCTCTCCCTGACCATCCATCCTCTTTCCCTCCACTGTCCTCGAACTCACAGAGATCCACCTACCTCTGCCTCCCGAGTCCTGGGATTAAAGGCGTGCTCCACCATGCCTGTCCTGTTTGTGTATCTTTATATAAATAAAACCACACAGAATGTAATCTGGTTGCTTTTGCTTAATAACATATTTATGAGATTCATCCATGTTACTCAGAAAAGCTGTCTGCTTCTAGGCTAAGCTTCTGTGGTAGAGTGCTTGTCTAATATATTGCAAAGCCCTGAGTTATATCTCCAGCATTTAAAAAAGATGCAGTTTATTGGTTTTAATTGCTGTGTAGTATCCTAATATATGAACATGTCACAATGTATTTACAATAGATTTGGAGTTGTTTACAGCTTGAAGTCATTACCAAAAATGCTACTACAACTTCATGTACCTTTTATTGTATATGTACATTTCTGTTTGTTATATAGCTAGACAAAAGTAGTTGAATCATGGATACAAACTTTGGGAGATGATGTTACACTGGTTTCTGAGGTGAAAATGTTTGCATTCCCATGTTCCACATTCTCCAAAGACTTTGTGTTATCAAGCTTGATAATTTTAGCCATTTGAATGAATTGTAATAATACTATTTCACTGTTATTTATATTGCATTTTAATAAGGTAATTGTGATTTTGGTTATAGCAGAATTGATGGAACCATAGATAACTTCATAATGTTCATAAAGATATTTTTGGTCAGCAAGTGGGAGGCTAAGATAGGAGCATTATGACTTCTGGGCCAGCCTGGACTATTGATAATGGCTCCATATTACCCTGTTTCCTTTTAGTATGGTCTCAATACAAAAACACCAACACAGATGAATGCAGAACCTCCTAGCAAGCAAAAGGACTCATCTAATAGCTCCTTGAAACAAAATGAGATGGGTAGGCAGGGATGTAGCTCAGTAGTTCTGTGAAGCTCTGAGTTCAAGCTGCAGCACTGCAAAACGGAAAAATAAAAGTTAGACAAATGAATAGTCAGGAACTATAAACAATAACAGAAACATCCACATTTCAAAAACTAAATATAAAGCCAGGCGTGGTGGTGCACGCCTTTAGTCCCAGCACTAAAGAAACAGAAGCAAGTGAATCTCTGTGAGGTTGAGGCCAGCCTGGTCTATATAGTGAGTTCCAGACTAGCTAGAGCTACAGAGACTCTGTCTCAAAAAAAGAAACAAAACAAAACCCAAAACTGAAGTAAATATAAGCTAGCACCACAAAACAGAAAAATAAAAGTTAGACAAATGAATAGTCAGAAATTATAAACAGTAACAGAGAAACAGTCAACTTTCAAAAACTAAATATAAACTAGAATAACTGAATATGAGATGGAAATTAGTCTAATTCAACCAAATTAAAACCAAGAGCTTCCTCAGCTGCAGACTGAGCCAGAACTAGAAGCTTGGTCCACATACCATAGCCTTTTCTAGCCTCCCCAGAATTTTACCTGACATTGCTTTCCTTAAGTCTAAAGTTTCTCTTGAAGCTCAATTTAATTTCTCAGAGTTCAAAATCATGCTTTAAATGTACTCAGCTATTCATGAAGATTTGCCTGTCCATATGTTGTAATTATATAGCCATGTTTTCTCTCCTGGGTAGTTAGTGATACTGAAATCCAATTCCAATATGTTATCTGACTATCACTCTTCAGAAAGATGAGAACAGTCTGTCTTAACTCCCACTGTTTTCTCTGCCAGCAAGTCAAGGTTTAGAGTCTTATGAAACAATCTACATAAGTACACAGCCTTCTTTTCCTTTGAGAACTCCAGATGGGGGCTAACTGAGCAACGCTATAGCATCTCACAAAAGGGCCTCACCACTGGTCCTTGGAGTGCGGGCAGAGTGAGGGCTCTACACCTATCCATGTACATCCATATCCAGAGTTGCCAGGTGACAAATGGCTCACACCCACAGAAGCCCAGCCTCTGGTTCTTAACTAGAATACATCTAATTTATCTATAAGTTTCATGCTTTGAGTCTCTGTTCATCCTCTAAGTTTGAGGCTAGCCTGGGCTACAGAATACACTATCTCAGAAGAAAAATAAAAAGAACTGTTAAAAATTTAGGTTTTCAGATGCCGGGTCTTTAATCCCAGCCCTCAGGAGGCAGAGACAGGCTACTCTGTTCAATTGAGGCCAGCCTGGTCCACGTAGTGAGTTCCAGGTGGGCTAGGACTAGGGAGACCCTGTCAAAAAAATATTAGGTTTTCAGGACTGAAAAGATATCTCAATCAGTAAAGTACTTGCTTTGCAAACATGAGGACCTGAGTTCAAACTCCAGAATCCATGTAAAAAAGCTGGGTGTGGTGGCAAGCCCCTGTAATCCCAGCACCAGGGTATCAGTGACAAGCAGATCCCTGGGGCTCACTGCCAGCCAGCCTAAGTTACTTAATGAGCTCCGGGCCAATGACAAGATGGGCAGTATGTAAGGAATAACACCAGATGTTGAATTCTGTCTTCCACATGCGCTGGCACACATGTACTCACACAAGTGTGTACATGCACATGCATACACAGGCACACACTCACAAAATAAAGAAAACCAGATTACCAGTGTCTTTGAACTATCCAAAGTTTTAGCTGTTCAGAGCCCTCATTCCTGGTAACGGCCAGGAGTAACTGAGTTGGGGTGCCCTTTTTCAGAGGGAACATGTCTCCTTCCCTCACCACAGTCTTATATCAAGGCCTCTTCACCTTTTATGCTACCTGGCCAACAACGGGCACTTGAGTTTCCAATTACTGACCTAATTCAATCTCCCTAAGGCCAGGTTTCTGTCTGGAGACAACAATGTCAAGGCCTTGGCAGCCAGTGAAGACTCTTCCACGGGGCTGCATAATTGTGCCCCCTGCAAGGCCCTGCAGGAGTGGCATGCCCTTTCTATGGGCTGGATGTTGACAGAGTTTCATTGGCATACAAAGGGACTGACTGAACTCACTGGAGAGTGCCAGGATTTCTGTTATGCCCATGAACTTAATTTCCAGTCCCTCTTCCCAAGCACATGACAGAAAAATGCTGAGAGATGTAGTTTAGTTTTCTCTAGTCTACAAGAAACACAATCAAGGCAATCTGTACATCTGACTATAAAAGCATCTACATTGTCCCCCTGTGAGTTAGTACATTCAAGAATGCTGTTTAAAATTCAATAACTAAAGGCAAATGAAATTATAAAAATGGATCATCTTTTATGGAAAACCAACAAAATAGATGTTTTGTTCCAAATGTCAAGCATTAGGGGGCTTTGTAAAATATGGAAAGTGTGTTCCCTGGGGGGCATGAGCAACTCACAGCTAGAGTGGATGACAACAGTGCTAATTGACACATCAGATACCAATGGCACTCTATGTCCCCATGGAAGAGGAACTGTATTACCTGGAGAAGTGACATGAACCACACAGATGTACTCTAGGGCCTAAGAGACAGAACTAGGCAAAATGTGAGGCTATAGATGCCACAACACTGTTCCTGATGATCCACAGAGGAAAGTAGTTCTTGGTCCTGTAGAGCCACATTGTAAAGGATTTAGAGTAGTTAAAAAAAAAAAAAAAAAAGGTTCATACAGTTCTAAGAATAGCCAATGGGCAGTAAGAACCCAATCAAGACCCAGCCCTGCAAGGATTCCAGAGCTAACAGTGCTGCTCTTGTCTACTGGGCCCTTCCAGAAGGAGCTACACTGTCTGTCCTACCTTCTTTGAGTCATCTTTAAGCATATTTGGAATAACTGCTGAGCATGTATTTCCCCCTTTTCCAAACCCTTCCTTTATTCCCAATCTTTGATGGGACTGCCACATGAGAATGTTGCTTCCACAGCCATATTAGAAACCCCCAGAGTCAGTAATGCAGATTCCAGGGCTCTGCTCCCAAAGACCCTAACCCAGTAGGTCCTGGGCAGTAGAGGGAAGCAGGACCTGACTGAATATCAGCACTTTTCCAGGAAATTGGGGAAAATAATTCTCCATATTCAGGAGCCTTTCTGTTGTAAAATGCATTAGTTAAATAGTGACAGTATGTGGAAGCAATCATGGCTGTCCTTTTTTTTGCCCTACTCGGAGAAGGAAAGGACAGCTTTCTTGCAATAGTCATAACTTGGTTTGTTCTTGGTCAGTTTAAAGAAAGTGGTATCAAAGTTATAATTTAAATTTCCCCACAATTGGGTGGGCAGGTAGGTCAGTAGGTAAAAGTTCTTACCCTCATGCCTGATGATTCGAGTTGGATCCCAGAACTCCTGGGTAGAAGACGAGAGCCTACACCACACCAGGGTGGCTAATTATTCCACTCATAATTATCTTGGCTATCATTCCTTCGAACATTGAGCTTCACCCCAGAACACTTATGTTGCTCTTATAGTATTTTGTGTGAAATACTAAGTTCCAGTAAAGTCAAGGTTTAGGACACCTTAGAGTGTTTTGCAAATGGTGTTCTATGCATTTCCAAAACTGTGTTCAGTATCTGCCTCTGAAGTAACTGGTCTGTTAAACATAGAGTCCCAGGCTCCTTCTAGAGAGGCTTTTGAAATCCTTCTCTTGTGACCAGGCCTGAACTCTGTACTTTCAGGGCACAGGCCAGGGGATTTATTCCACACACTGAAGTTTGATAATCAGGTTTGCAGGAACATGAATTTTCTCTCAAGTTCATGAGAAAAACAGAGAAACCAAATAATAGCACTAGAAACAAGCAGTAAGTCAAACCCCATGTGTGGCACAGGCACACTCTAGGACAAGTGGCCTGATTTCTAGAGTTGAAGACTTGTCTTTGAAGTGACAATGGGAAGCCAAGTGTGATGATCCAGGCCTGTAATCCCAGTACTTGGGAGGTGGAAGCAGGAAGATCAGGAGTTCAAGACCTGCCATGGCCACATACAGGGAGTTCAGAGCCATTCTGGATGACATGAGAGAACAAACAAAGGAACAAAAACATGACAAATGGCCTACCACTATAGAAGTATTTATATATATACTATAAAAAAATGATTTAAAGGAGTTACCCTGTAAGTGGACATTGCCCCTACAAGACACCACAGGCAAGCAAATAAAAAGCCTAATGCCAGGAATGGACTCCTTCATTTGAAACTGTTCGACTAGGGGTCCCAGGAGTCCCATAGACCCCTCAAACAATACTGGCCATTGCCCCTGCTCTTCATTATGGCTAGGCAGGTCACAAACCATAGGGGAGAGCCTGCTATGATTATTCTGTGAAATGGACATAGTAGTAAAGTGACTTCTAACGACTAATTTTTATACCCATAGATTAATACATTTCTCAGCTCTCACCAAAGGCTCCTCATGTAGCAGGTGGTGATTAACACAGAAAACCATAACTGGCCAATGTGTAGAGAATAAGAGACTGCCAAGTGCTTATCCATGAATAGGACACATATATCAAAACTCTGCTTCCCAAAGCTCAGGGGTCATTACAGAAGAGGGGATGGAAAGATTGCAAGAGCTGGAGGTGGTAGATGACTACAAGGAAACAGTTTTCCAGACAGCTGAGCATTTACTCGTATTAACTCATAAGTAATGAGGTGACAGCATGCACAATAACCATGTAAGCTAAAGTGAGATAAAATCCCAGCATAAATATGGGGAAGTGGGTAAGACACTCCAGCCCTAGCTGGGGAACTACTGGCAACCAATAGCTGCTTGGAGAATCAGTTTTTCTTATGGGTGTGATGCTGGATAGGTTAACCAGGTTCCAGTGAATGGATCCACACTAATAGGTATTTGGGGATAGAAATTTAAATCAGTAAGTATTAACATATATAATAGAATACATGAAATCAGATGGGCATATTAGGGGGGTGCAGATAGCGGAGAGGGTCTATATATGATCAAATATATTGTATAAAATTCATAAAATTTCAATTAAAAGTTTTTTATAACCCAGAGACAAATATATGTATATATATGAGAAACAAGCTTACTTTGGCTAGGAGAAAATAGAAAGGCATTTTATTAAAATCATCTTATAAACATCTTCCTTCTGAGTAAAGAAGTCCTTAGTGCTGTGAATTTTTAAATTTTAAGGAATGAGAACCAAGAGGTTCTCAAAGTTGGGTAGGATATTAGATGACCCAGCTACCTCTAGGGTAAGACCAATCATACTTCTTTACCTGTGATTTTGTAATACTGTCAGAAATATCTCAGGATTTAACCTGATTAGTTATGGCAAATGTTTGTGTGTCCTCACAAAGAACACCTCACTTTTTGCCTTTGAATTCTTCCATTAATGCTCTAAAGAGTGCAGATGAACTTTAGATGTGGATTAACCTGCCTGCAAGGTACCAGTACTGCTTTCTCCATAAGAATCTCCAGTGTATTTCTGGAATGTAGTGCAGTGTTCATTTTATGTTAAATAATATTGTCTTATATGGAACATCATTTTGTTTACAAATTTGTTAGGCTTTTTTTCCCCTAAAAACAGAATTTTTTGTTGTTGTTGGTCTTTTTGAGACAGGGTCTCTCTGTAGCCCCAGCTGTCCTGGAACTCACTATGTAGATCAGGCTGGCCTTGAACTCACAGAGATCCACCTTCCTCTGCCTTCCAAGTGCTGGGATTAAAGGCGTGCGCCACCACGCCTGCCTAAAAACAGAATTTTAATCCTCAGATGTCATCAGAAGAAACTGGGGAATAGATGTGGTACATTTCTAAAATGCACTAGAAGATTCTTTTTTTTTTTTTTTTTTTTTTTTTTTTTTATAAAAATTAAAAATTTTCCTGGATGAAAAAAAAAAAAACCAAAAAAAAAGCTGGCCTAGAACTCACAGAGATCTGCCTGCCTCTGCCTCCCGAGTGCTGGGATTAAAGGCTGGCTCGGAGAATTTTATGGAGAGTGTGGAACATGATGCAACATGGAGAAACCTTGAAAACACTATTTTCAAGTGAAAAGGGATGGGGGGCACATCTGTGTGATGTCGTTTATACAGAAAGTCCAGAGCAGACAAATCCATAGGGACACAGAGTGTGTTTGCAATGGGCAAAACGGGTTCTTCGTCAATAAAATATTGAATATGAAAATGATTTGGAAGTAGACAATAGTGATTATTATGAAAATTTGATGAATATTAAAAACACAGATTTGTATTCTTTAAAGGGTGAGCTATAATACCTTTACATCTCAAAAAGTCTTACCTAAAAGCAAAAGGCATTATCAAAAAAAGTGGCTATTTTTTTTCTAATTTTAAAGAAACTTAAGAAACATAACAAATCAATACAAATGAACAGGCCTTGCTTGACTCCTGATTGAAACAAACATGTGTAAAATGACATTGTGAAACAAGAGAGTCTGGGTATGAACTGGAGCCATTATTTGCTTCCTTAGCAATCAAACTAGCATTGTCCTCAGGTATGATGGTGTCTTTTCTTTTGCGATAAATACTGAAATATTTAGGGGTAAAATAACATGATGCTTGAGATTTGTTTTAAAATACTTTGACAAAAAAGGGTGATAGTTGGTCTGAGTATGCAAAATAAATGTGTGGGGTTAATGACAGTTCACTGGAAGACCAATGCTCCAGGGATCTTGAACTCTTTTCTTTGTGAACGTTTAGAAATTTTCATAATAAAGAGTTAAGAGTATAGCCAAACATCATGGCGCAGGACTACAATCTCAGCACCTCAGGAGATGGAGGCAGGAGAATCACAAGTTTAAGCCCTTATCTGGGCTATAGAGTGGTTCAGAGTCAGCCTGGAGACCCTGTCTCAAATTAAAAAGTGAAAAAGAGGGTTTGGGAGTGGTAGAGCATATGGTCAATCCTCAGTACCACCAAATAACAAAATAGAATAGGCTGGGTGTAGAGGAGCATGCATGCCTAGGTTCCCAGCACTCTGTGCTAGAGAAGATGAGGCAAGAAGATAACAGGTTTGAAGTCTGTCTGGGCTACAGAGTAAGTTAGAAGTCAGCCTGAGCAACTTAGAGAGACTGTCTCAAAGTCAATTTAAAAAGGACAGAAGAGATAGCTCTGTGGTAGAGCATTTGTTAAGCATGCACAAGGCCCTGGGTTCAATCTCCAGCACTGCAATAAAGAAAAAGGTGAGAATAAAGTAACTCAGGACTTTCTGATTACCTGTCTTTGGTTTGATTCCCCTGGGTTCCATCCTGAGCACTGCAAAGACAAACTGAAATAACTAAAAAACAAGATAAAACACCCCCTCCCAACAAAACAACTTTGTAGTATAGTTTAAAGGACTTTACATCTATTTCATTTCTTTAGGATATCAGTAAACAACGGTCAGATTGGTGACCTTGGAGAACAGTTTTAGGGAAACATGGAGAATGTAAGTCAGACTCTGCTGGACTGAGGAGTGAACTGGGCCCAGGTGATGATGGACTCGTGGTTGGTACACATTTGTCTTTCTGAAGGCCAGTTGTCCTGGTTAGTTTTTGTCAACCTGACACAAACTAGCCACCAGGAAGAGAAAACCTCAACTGAGGAATTTCCTTGGTCTGTGGCTATCTATGTCTGTGAGTCATTTTCTTAACTGTTAATTTATGTAGGAGGACCCAGCCCACAGTGGGCAGTACAATCAGTCCCTAGGCAAGTGAACCTGGTTGTGTGAGGAAGGCAGCTAAGCAAGCCAGGAAAAGCAAGACAGTAAGCAACAGTCCTTCATGGTTTCTGCCTCTAATCCTTCTTGAGTCCCTGGCCTGGCTTCCCTCAATGATGGGTTCTGATATATTTTCCTCCCCAAGTTGTTTTCGGTCAGTGTTTCATCATAGCAATAAGAAAGCAAACTGACAGACCAGTTAGGAAGAAAAGGATATATGGTATGTGGAGACTGGATATATCTGATGGAAGAAACATAACTTCAGGTTTAGAGAAAAAGTGCATACACACAGGAAGCTAAATTAAGTCAGAGGGAGGAAGTCAGAGAAGAGACAGAAGAAAAGAACTATGAATAGCTTGGGGGTCTGAAGAAGCTGTCAGGAATGGAGCCCAGGGTTGGGGGGAGGAAAGGAGTTGTCAAGGGAAGCCATTTATTGAGCCAGGAATTTGGGGTATGAAGGCATTAGATCCTCATCAGGACTGTCAATAGGTATCCGATGCCTGGGACCTGGATTGCTATTCCTCTAGGTCCCTTTGTTCAGTTTCTGACAGGTTGAATTTATACAGACTAAATTCTCTTAAATAATCAGGCCCCCAAAGATATGAAATCAATGCAAAGCCCTTTAAACTGTACTATGAAGTTTTATTCAGCGTTCTTCATTTGCTTCTTTGGTTTTGTTATTTTGTTTCGTCTTTGCTGTGCTGATGGAACCCGAGGCGGGGTGGGGTGGGGGCCTTGAGTTTAACTAAGAGACCACAGCCAGTTTGTCATGTGGGTACTGGAATCCAAACTCCAATCCTCATGCTAAACAAAGCTTTTTTTTTTTTGTCTTTTTGAGACAGGGTTTCCCTGTAGCCCCAGCTGGTCTGGAATTCACTACATAGGCTAGGCTGGCCTCGGTCTCACAGAGATCCACCTGCCTCTGCCTCCCAAGTGCTGGGATTAAAGGTATGTGCCATACCCAGCAACATAAGCATTTTAAATACCTAATACAGATTATCCAGAACATATGGGTTTATTGTGGTCCACACCTCTATAGTTCGTTCTAAATAAATATATCCATGTGCATACATATACATATATTTGGAGTTGGGAAGACACACGCCACAAATCACCCCCACCTCAAGCCACACTAGTCCTCTCTTCATGTTTCATTTTACACTTTAGGGCCCTCAAGTAAACGGAGCACTATCCGTTCTACCTTCCGGCTCTGGGCAGCTCTTCTTTCTGCCTGTGCACCTTCAACCTCCAGAGGCGCCTATCTTGACCAACCAAATGGAGACTGGTGGTTTCTCTTGCTGCCACACACATTTTGCGTTCAGACTATTTGGGTTCAAATCCCAGACCCTTGCAGCTGCTCTGTGGCCCTGGGCAAGGTGCTCAACGTGTCCTTTTTCCCACCTACAGTTTGAGGACAAGATGATTTAGAGGATTAAATCTGCTAGCAGATTTGGAAAGCAAGTGGAAATTTAGTTCTCATTTTAGCGATACTCTATTTTTGACTCCATTTACCTATCGGTTGCCAAGTTGTCACCTTCAGGACACTTATGGTGACCCCACCCCTACTCCTTGTGGGTTAGTCTCCGCGAATACTGAAAATGAATGAATAGGGATCCGCGGAAAGGCTGGTCTTTCCGGCTTTAGAAGAGACCATGAGACTGAGCTAGCCGAACGAGACCGGTTCTAAGTCGGAACACACCGGGCACCAGTGTGGCGTTAGGAAGTGGAGTCTCAGCCCTGGAGTCACCGCGAAGAGCTCTTCTGGAGAGCACCCGACGGCGCGTGGTCCTCAGAACACCAGCTCACTTGACACAGGCCAAGGCTCTACACAGCGTCCACCAGCACGACCCGAGGACCGGAAGACCTGCAGCAGGAGGCCAGTCCCGCCTCGGCTCCGAAACTCCCTGGTGATTGGCTGTTCTTTCGGCCCACCCAGAGTCCAACGGGGATTGGCTGTTCGCCTCACGATCCTTCCTGTCCCGCCCCTCCTAGCGGCGCTATGATTGGCTGCAGATGTCAGGGCCGTCCCCATCCCTCGCCCCTGAGCTAGTATCAAGGTTGCACTGCAGATCTCTGCCTTTCCGACCCTGCTTGGGGGTGAGTGGCCTAACCGGGAGTTCGTCTGTACGGCCCCGCGTCCCCTCGAGCTTTGCCCGCCCGGAGCTCCGCTGCTCCTGGCGGCCAGAACGGAGGGGTAGAGCAGCCCTCGGCGGCCCGGGAGGGCGGGCGGCCTGTGCCCAGCCCTGGGCCGCGCGAGAGACACGCGCGGCGAACAGCGCAGCTCAGGCCTCCCGCGCGCGGGGAGTCTGACTGTTCACTTTGCCTCCGCAGGCCCGAACCGCCGCCGACCTTGACCTCGAGAATCCCGACACCCAGCCTTGCAGCAGCGTGGGTTCCAAGCCCAGGTATGCCCCCGGCTTGAGCAAAATGAGAGGCCCAGGAGCACGTGGTCTACGAGACTGAGGGTTCCGAACGGTACGTCTCTCAGGTGAGGCCGCAACTGATGAGACGCATTTGTGGGTTTACCCATTCTAATCTATTTTGCCGGGTTTTTTTTTCTTTTTTTTTTTTGTGTGGGGGTCTTTTTGAGACAAGAGTCTCCCTGTAGCCCCATCTGGCCTGAAGACCAGGCTGGCCTGGAACTCAGATCCGCCTGCCTCCCGAGAGCCGGGATTAAAGGCGTGAGCCACCACGCCCGGCCATTTTACTGTTTATTAAGCTGCTGAGATCCTCCTGGGTCGCCCTTTCCTGTGCCCTTTTAAGGTTGACATGGTACTTTAAGAGGCCAACACAGAAGGGTAAAGGAACGCTCCATAAAACCCAGAGAAGAGACTGTGCATCTCCTCTTTGGATCCTGTCTGGAGTCACACTGCACACGGATTACATAGTTTGAAAACTCTGATACTGTCAGGTGTGCAATTTTTAGGCCCTGGTGAATACCAAGTAGTGACTTAAAAATACATAAGCATATTGAGATGTGTTCTTTGATTGTGAGAAAGTCCAGAGTAGGAGCTTTTCTAGAAATAAGTTTGAGACCAGATGAAAAGATCAGTGTTTTTTTTTTTGTTAATTTGAAACTTTCATTTATTTTATAGATTGGAAACTACAAACCAGACGCCATTGAAGTTGGAAGCCTGTTTTATACCAGTTATTAGACTGATGAGGGAAAGCCTGTAATGAGGTGAACTAGTCTTATATAACAGGTGTCCATTTATTGCTGTAAGATTTAAAGGACAGGCAGGAGAAGGCAGGTTATGTATTTCTCAGGACTCTAAGGTAGGTGATTGTTCTCCCATTTTATGAATGAAGAAATGGGAACTTTCCATCAAGAGTATCTCTGAATAAGGAACCCGAGACTGGGGACTTGAGTAAGTGCTCTTTGGCAATTTCATTGAAGGTGGTCTCCCAAAATGTCTAACAGCATGTTAAAGGGTTCTTTTTAAGGTGGGAGGGGGGCTGGAAGTTTTTTAGGGTTTGGCAAGGTTCATTTGCAGTACCCAGTCAGTTGTCTAGCAGTCAGTATGGTGTAACCTGCATACCAGTTGCATGTCACTCATTTTCCAGAATGTTAAATAAAGGCACTCTGTTAAAATTCCAGTGGTTATTTTTGACATTATTCAACAATTGTTAGATAGTCATATTTGCTGGGGGGGGGCAGTGATTAAATACATTTTTTTACACTGAGTTAGTTCAGATGGGGATAACCTAGGGGTATCATATCTTTTAAGACAGGGTCTCTTGTACCCTGGTATAACCTTGGAGTTCCAAGTCTCCCAAGTTTCAGATTACAGGCAATAGCATATCTGGTTTATGCAGTGCTAGAAGTTAAAAGCCTAAGACTTACAGCATGCTAGCAAGCACTACCTACCTGGCCCCCACATAGGTATAAATAACTAGGGAAAGAGCATCTCTGGTACCTAGTTAACTACTTTGCCTCTGTTTCTAAGGTTTTTTTTTTTTTTTAATGTGTGTTTTAATTGTACATGGGGGTGTTGTACATTCCACAGAATTTGTGGTTACAGACTTGTTGGACTTAGAAGTCTAAAGTTGGCCTCAACTGTAGTCTTGCCTCAGCCTTCTGAGTTCTTTAATGTATTATAGATGTGTGTCGCCATGCTTAGTCCTAGCCTCAGTTGAGTAGTTGTACATGGTACCTAGAATGATAGGTATTGAGCAGCTTTCATGTTGGTAGTGAAACTTTAGTAATACTATTTCTATTAGTGATGGCATGATTGCTTTTTCATATAAAAAAGCAATTAGCTATATGCCAAGTATTGTTGACACATAAGGACACATCAGTGACCAAAGTAGATAAGGCTCAGTGAAGGTGGTTGTCTGCGATCATAATCACTGACCACATTTCAAGTGTTCAGTAGGTACATGCGGCAGGGGGAGGATACTACTAAGTATTTCCACTTTAGAGTTAGCAGAATTATTGCAGAGATTATGGGTAACCGCCTTGATTTTTACAAAATATATCAAAACCTGGAGACATGCTTTGATAGCTGCTGACGCAGGTTTAAAACTGCTAGCTCCTAATCTCTCACTTGTGGATTAACAGACCGGATGGGAAAATGATTACACTGAATATCCCTAGTGGCCTCTAAATGTAATTACAAGATCCCTCCTATAGAAGAGTGGCAGGATCCATAAGCAGGAAGATAAAGCAAGGAGTCTTGAGCAGAGTGAGGCTGCTACCAGAAGCATAAGTGTTGGGTATGGCAAGTTGAAATGTGTTTAGTCATTAAGATATGAATGGGTATAGGGCCAAAATATTAGGTTAGCAAGTGTCTCTTTAATCAAAACAAGCTAGGCAGGTTGCATGCCTGTAATCCCAGAAGCAGGATCACTGAGTTTAAGGCAGCCAGGGCTATACAGCACCCAGCAAGATGCTTTTCCAAAAAGCATAGTTGGAATGGTGTCATCTGTACATTTATGCAATATAAGTTATATTAAACTGAAAATAATAGGAAGAAAAGTCCTTAATTTATGTACTGCTGGTTGTAGTATAGATTTTGGCCAGCAGCATCCCAGAATTTATACAGATCATTGAAATGGGCTTCCATCCTAAATCTGCAAACCCTTCTACAGGTCTTCCATAAAGAAACAAAGTATTCATACTTCACATACATTCAAATCTAATTTTTAAAAACATTTAAGATTCAAAGGCAAATGTTTTTCTTTCCCAGAACAAAATGTAACACACTTAAGGCATTTCTTTTTAAAAAATTAGCTTATTAATGGCTATGTTATGAGGAAAAAATTCATTCAAGGCCTTAAAGAATATTCCCTGCTTCTGAAAGAAAAGACATTGAGGAACACCCCCCCCCCATCTGATTTCAACACTGCTAACAACCAGCACACAGACTTGACTGACTTCCTACTTAGTATTAGGCATTGTTTGAAATGCCAGGCAATCTTAAAGGGTTAAATCAGGCTTGAGGGGGCTGAGGCTGGCCACAGCAGCGGAGCCTTCTGAATGGAACATAAGATAGTCCCTGCCTTGGACTGGTTTGTTGGAGTGGAGCACAGTAGAAATCTGTAGTCTGCATTTATTGCTCAATGTTAAATGCAAGTGCCAGCCAAAAATACTGCACACAGTAAATAAACCACCTAGATGTCTCAGGAAAGAGCTACAGATGGAGATGAGTCCCTAAGAGATCCTTCAGGGACAGCAAGAGTCAGTGTCAGGAATTACAAAGTGGAGTATGCTTGATCCTGTCCCATGCTCAGGTGGGTAGACTTAAAAGCAATCAAGTCTTCATCCTCATTCTTTCAAGAACAGCTGGAGCACTTTTAAGAAGAAAAGGAAGGATCCTTGTGACAGAACTTGGCCTATGCAGTTTACAAGAGAGACTGTCACTGCTGAGTGGTGTTTAGTCCACACACACAGGGATTGACTTACATGGTGGAGAGGACAGCAGAGATGGTGTGCTTCAGGAAGAGAGCTATTGCAGCCCTCAACTTTTTTTTTAATATTTGAGATGAAGTGTAGGTAGCCCATGCTAGCCTGGAATGCCTGGGCTACCCAGTGAGTTCAAGGCCAACCTGGACTACATGAGACTGTCCTCAAAAAACAAAATGGAGGAGAGATGGCTCAGTTGGTTAAGAACCTTTTATGTAAACATGAGAACTTCAGTTTGGATTCTTTACAACCCACTTTTATAAAAGCTGGGTATGGTGGTATGCATTTGATCCTAGCGCTGGGGATTTGACAGCCTAGATCTAGCTCATTGGTAAGCCAGGGGGAGCCAACTGTTGAGCTCCAGGATCAGTGAAAGACTGTCTTCGGTGCGCAGAGGAAGATACAGAATGTCAGCTTCTGGCTTCCATACATACACGTGTACCACTCTCCTACTCACCATAACACATATTCTCCCCCCTCCCCACACAGACTAAATTCAAAAACAAAAGTGTCAATCTAAGCCATTTAGTAATAGCCTTTTATGTGCTTGTCAATGCATGTATGTGTATGCACCACACACATGCTGGGTGCCCTCTGAGGCCAGAAGAGGGCTTGTGAGCTGCCAGATGTGGGCACTGGGAGCCAAATTCAGGTAGTATATAAGAGCATAGCCTCTTGTTTCTTGCTGATAGACTGAATCTGCTTCCAACATCTGAGTCCAATATCCCACTCCAAAAAATTTCATTATTTTTTCTGTCTGCCAAGGCCACTTTTTTTTTTTTTTTTTTTTTTGAGACATTTCCATACAGAATCCTTAGTGTTTAGGTTTGCCTTGAAGGTTTCAACTATCCAGCTTTCAAGTACACTTGCCCTCACCTTGAATGCATAGGGGAGGTGTGCTGGAGCAACAGGCTTAGTTTCTCATTCTGCGGTGGTTTGCTGGGCTTTGTATAAACAGCTCATGCTCTGATGTATCACTCCAGCTCCTCAGGCTGCATGCTGCTAAGTCGTGTACCCATGAAGCTAATAACAAATGTTGGAAGATGCTCAGCCTGTATTAGTTTTACCCTGAGATTTCCCCAAGACCAAGACAGAATTGTGCCCTGAAAATACACCCAAGTTACAGGTTCTTAGACTTTATTTTGGCTTTTGCAAGATCATCAACCACAGTAATGTGAAAAATAATCTTTCCTTTTGTAAGTTTTCTTTCAGAATGAGTCTTTTCAACCATGTTTTCTCCTAATTAGCAATTTGTGGGACTCAGATTTCTAACCCTTAGTGCATTATGAATTTGGTGGATGATTGAATGAAGTCTATCCATATCTAACAGCTAGTAACTTCAAAAATACTGTTGTGTACTAAATTAAACGTTACAAACGATCTTGGCAATGGTTACTACCACTAATTTCATAAGCTATTCATGGAATATTAAAGCAGAACACAAATACTCTGGAGAATGGAAGGGTTCAGCACCATACCTGAACCTTTGGTTTTTTTCATCTACAAAAGGATAAGTCTACATTTTCCCACTTACCAAGTAAATGGGAGTGATCCTTAAAGTACTATTCATTATGGTAGGGAGCATCATACACCTCCACATAGGATCTAAAGTAACAAACAAACAAAAAAAAAGTGTCCTAAAGCTGTGTATTTAAAATGAGATAGCTTGAAATTACAGGGGTTTTTTGTTTGTTTTTGTTTTTATTGGTATTCATACAGAGACCCAAATGCAAGATAGCCTTCAAATACACAAGAAATTAGATGCTGTCTTTCTAATTAGATGCTGTATTTCCTGCCTGTGTAGTGCAGTATGCATGGTTGGGTTCCTAGAATTCTCCAGAACTCATACTGTGATTACTACATATATTTGGAGTTGAAAGCAACACATTGAAAAATAGCATCTTGCAAGCTTTGAATACATTTACTTAGCTCTCAGATAAAAGTTAGAAAAGGTTTTCATAAATTGAGGTTGTATAATCATTTAGCATTAAGTGTTGTACAACTGCCACCAGTATCCATCATCTCAATCAGAAATTATGTGTCCATTAAAAATTCCACCTCCCATTTAGTCATTCTTATTTTACTTTGTGTCTGAGTTTGACTAAATATTTCATGTATATAATCGGAATCATGGAATTTGTCCTTATATCTGGCTTATTTAGCTTGGCATTCTTGTTTCTTTGAGACAGAGTCTCAAGTAGCTCTGGGTGGTCTAGAACTTACTATGTAGCTGAAGATCACCTTGAACTTCTGATCCTCCTGCCTCCACCTTCCAGTTTTATGTGGTGCCAGGGATAAACCCAGGGGTGCATGTTTGACAAACACTCTGCCAACTAAACCCCACCCCCAGCGATCACTGAACATGTTTTTACAGTTCATCCATTTGGTAATGATTTTCAAGGAATGGATATTGTTCTGTTGTATGAATGTGTTTGAAATGACGCTCATCTGTGAATGGACATTTGGACGGATTCCTCCTTAGTTGTGAACGTTAGTCTACAGGTTGGTAATAGAATCTACTTTCAATTCTTTTGAGCATTTACTAAGAAGTAAAATTGTTGGATTACAGGATATTTCTACTTTTAATTTTCTGAGGAACCATCCAACTTTCTCCATCACAGCTACATACACCTCCTTCCCACCAAGAGTGGGCTTCACCAGCATTTTTACTTTTTGTGAACCTCCACTCT